AGCAACGCATGATTTTTCAACATACACAGAGAAGCATAATCCAAGGGGCTCCAAAAAATAGCTAGTAATAACCACTAAGTACATAGGTTTTTTTGAGAAATAACTCATTATGCACAGGTGAAAAATTATTACTACACAGTGAACCATACAATGGAAAGAAATATGGAAATCACAGAAATGCTGAAGGAGGCAATTCCTCTACTACCTATCCTGATGGAGAGAAGAAGAAAGGGAATTAAATCATGTAAGAAAAGCACATGATGGAAGTAAAAAAAGATTAGTTAAGTAGCCAACAAACTCAAAGTCTGAGGATAAATTAAGTTAGTTACTTAAAGATAACTTTAACAACAGAGAGCTGGTCTGTACATGATACTCAGAAAAGCTCGTCCTGGTATAACAAAAAAGAACCTAAATTCACATTTCTAATATCCTCAGAAACATCAGGTTCAAGGACCTTTTTCATTTTTCCCAACATAAAAACTTAAAATTAAATGGAGACAGCACTATAACCAACAATTTCTCCATAATCTATACAAAAAAGGACATTAGCAAGCTAAAAATAAATTTTTGATCCCTTCTAAACATATGTTGGTTTCAAGTGGTTTTCCCAACTTGTATTGGAGAGATGAGCTTTCAGATAGGGAATCTAAAACATCACTTAAAAATGTCGCCTTCCATCTAAATTAAACGTAGCCAAGTGAAAAAAAAACAGCAGGCTGAGATAGGAAGGAGACTGGTGATCACATGACTGGGAACTCAATATGCTAAAAAATGGTGAATAATAGGTGACAGGTAAATGACCTCATGGAAAGAGGCTTCAATAAACCCTTCTGTTCTTTATAAAATACATGTTTACCTCTCCAGCCTGATATAAAAAGCATGCTTTTAGTCCAAAGCTGAATTTTATGAGTTCCCTCATGCATAAGGCAATAGAAATAGGATATGCAGAGACTATATTTTGTTATACATTTTTTAAAGAAAAGTGAATAAAAGCCTTGCACTCAATTCAATTGCATTTCTCTGTGATAGAGTGTGAACACTGCACCTGACTGGTTCCTAAATGTAATGAAACACTCTAAGTGGCAACGGGCAGCACTCTATTGCTTTTGTTAAAAATCAGAAAAAGAAACGCATGCCAAGCTTCCAGCATCCATTTAGGGTTGTCAGCATTTTCAACCACCTCTGTAAGGTCTCTACTGATTCAAAGAGCCAATTGACAGTACATAGTAACACCCTCCAGTATAATTATAATCCCTCTCAGCTTTGTCCACCTACTAGTTTAAAATGATGGTTCCCTTAATAACTTCTCCATCAGGCAGAACATAAAGAACAGTGCATGAGCTGAAGGAGACTTAAGGGCCTCTGGTGGGGAAGGCTAGAGAAAATGATGGACCCTGAAATGATGCACAGCGCACCTGCCCAATACAAGCAATGAAAATGAGCACCTAATACCCTAATAGCCTGGGTATATGTATGCATATATAAGGATTTTCTCCTTATATCGGTACTACAGTATGAGGAAAAGAAATAGCAAGAAAGGAAATGCCTTCACTGGCTAAGCAAGCCCTTCATGTACCACTGCATTAAGTGAGAATCAGATCAGAAGACTTGTGAGTTAATGCAGGAACAGCCAGATGATCTTGCCTTTCAGAAAAAAACTCAACCCCCAAATATTTCACTTTGTTCTGTTAAATAGCTGCACTAGAACTGTAAGAATTTGTTTACAGGTTGTGTTTCTTCAGATGGCAGATCAAGCAACGCCATACTGTTGTAGCAAAACAGCACAACATCTTTTTCTTTCCTCTCTTGAAAGCCTAGAAATTTTAACATGAAACACAAAACCGTTTGAGACTGCATTTCTTGGTATTCTGTAAATATCACCTTCTCTACAAGAGTTAAACCTGAAAATTGCTTAGCACGTAGAAGGCAACGAATTCCTTGGGGCCTAATTCTGTATTCCTTATTGTGTACAACTTCTTTTGAAGTCAATATTAGTGATGTCATTTTAATTTTCTTCACATCTGCCATTTTATCTTAGAAGAAAAAAAAAACAATCCTTTAATTCCATTAAAAATTCCTTGTAGACTGCCTTTTGTGCTGTTGGTAAGTTTTGAAAATCTTTCTGAGAAAATTAATATTCAGTGTATTCAGTGTACATATTAATAAAAATAGAGAGAGCAACAGAGGAAATGAGCAAACTACAACAAAACTGCTGATACTGGATAAAGGCAAACCCTTTCAGGAACACATGCATTAACACCCTCCTGACAAGTGAAGACAGCAGCAAAAATGATCTAACCTCATCTCTTTCCATTGCATCAAGAGGAAATCCAACAATAGCAAAATGGGTAACCACAGGCACTGCAGCAGTACAGACAGCTCTGTCAAGCCTGTAGTATTTGGTGAAATTGTGAAATCAGTTTGTGAATACCACACTTTTTAAAGACTTCCATGTCAGGAATTTCTATCCCTTTATCTGTACCCCTTTATCACACGTGCAGACCCGTATAAATGATGTAATGCTGTAAGATTATAAAGGAAAATAATTGTTTCTCCTGTATTCATGACGACAGGTCTATAGAAAGAACCTCCCTTTACAAGAAAAATACTGAACCTTTGACTTTCAAAGTTTTGATAACTTTATTCTGTTTTTATCTTAAAAATACATTGGCAAGCATCCTTTCTTGTTTGCAGATGCTAAAATTAAGGACAGCTGCAATGTGGCATACAGTATCTAAAACACCAGATTTTTGAGCAGGACTTGGCAAGGGTGATTAGGCTCTCCTTTCACCATCTTTTACTGCAGAAGCCTGTCTCTCAAGAAGATTCCAAAGCTGCCTCCACTGGTTATTTTATTTTGGAATATTTTGTGCCTCCTGTAGGCTGAAGTTTTTTTGGTTTGCCCATAACTTTTTACTTTGTGTGGTTGCATATTCCGAAGATGGCAGCCCATATCAAATTGTGCAGATAAACCTGAGTGACAGAGATACTACTAGTCTGAAGAACCATGAAGATAAATCTGATGAAATCTTGGAACAACGACCACAGTAGCAAAAATTAGTTCCCGATGCTTAGTTTTCAAAGTGCACGTTAGAAGTACAATGACAGCACACTATCAGAAGGATTACAAGGATGTTGTTAATTATTTAGTGGATCAATGGAGCGTCAATCATTTCAACATGAAATAGCTTCCACACTATAAACCACAATTCTTTAATGCCCAGTAATGCAGCATGGTTGAATGCAATTACATAAAATGAAGAAAGGTACCACGGGCCTGTAATTTTTGAAGTGTTAACAAGCCAACCCAGTTAAAATACATACAATTTACCTGATAAAGTTTGATTAGCAAATAATTTTTGGTTTTAGATTTCACTTTCGATTATTTAAATTTCAACACAGTTTTTTTTTTATAGACCAATATTTCTGTGATTTGCAAAGCAAGCAAGCTACAGTGGTTATTTAAAATAAATCTGGCATCGTAAAACAGAAAAGGTTCACTGCCTTTAATGGAGTAATTTATTTCTCCAAATAGTTATAGAGATCGAGAATAGTAACAGTTATTGGATAGACCAATCCATTTACGAGTTCAATCATGAAGAGGAGAGTTTAAGTGCTGTAAGATTTGTGAAAAACCTGCCACAGCTTCAGTTCGCATTCTTGATTTTCTTAGACATCCAGACAGGAGGAAACTCTCCAATTTTATGAGCTTTGCTTTGTGTCAGCATTTTTCATTTTGCACTGCTAAATGACCATAACAGTTGCATTTCACGTTTTTGTTTCAAATATATTTTCAAATATACTGGTTGTCATAAGAAGGTTTTGATCACTGAAAAATGTATCACCTTAATAAAGTTATAGAGATTTAGCAAGCCCCATTATGCTAAACCTATTCAGCTATTTGAGGTCTGATGAGATCTTTGATACGAGTAAGTTGTATTAATTTACCTTCCAATGTGCAAAACTGAAATCCATTTAACTAAGTGGTTTGTGCATTATGTAAAACATAAAACAAAAAACCTTCCTGTTACTACACAATTAGACTACAATAATGTCTGTCCTCTGGCATTTTGATGTATGATATATTAACAAAAGCTAAGTGAAAAGAGGAAAACTATGCAAACTACTATTAACTTTAAAAAGTAGAAAACTTCTTTCAGAGTAAGAATTGGGTGACAAACGTACTTGAACGCATTTCCTTCTGAGAGAAAAGGTATTACATAAATTCATTTCTGACCCACATTATTGTCTTATGTTCACCACACTAAAATGAGGATGTTGTCAGAGAACCAAAATGAAGTTCCAGAAGCACGGTCTTCTCTCCCAGCCACTGTCAAGTCCTTTTGTGATGGCAGATAACTCAACTCACCTTTTCTTTTCTCTCCATATGGACAAACATACATGTGAACAAATATACATGTATATAATTCTCTCGTACATATTTTATTTCTTCACAGAATCATAGAACAGTTGAGGTTGCAAGGACCTCTGGAGATCGTCTAGTCCAACCCACCAGCTCACAGCAGAGTCAGTGAAAGCTGGCTGTAACCAACTGGGTTCTGAACATGTTTTAAAATGGAGAGTCCACAACCTTTTTCTTCCTTTGCTTTTTAATAGAGCAAATTTGTCTTTGAAAGCAACCTTTTACACAAGTTCATTTATTTCAGTTCCTTAAATTATATCAAGTATACAACAACAAATAATTTTCCTCAGCAACCATTCATGATGTTATTCTGAATTATTCAAACTTACATAAATAATGTTAATTAAACATGTTACATGCTGCATACCAAACATTTTATAAATAAAGTTCTAAAGAAATATTGCTGTTATAAACAGTTGTTCACAAATGAAATTAAGCATATATTTACCATCTGGGTAATATATCAAAACTTTCAATAAACATCAGTTTGAAGATTGTGTACAACTTATTAGAAAGCAATTTATTTTCCAGATTGTTATCTGGTGAAGCAGATTCCTCCCATTATAAGTCAACTTACTTAGTCTCTGAGCAGCCTCCAGGGCATCATTTGCAGAATCAGCTACAAAGAATCTCTGAACTGTAACCCCATGGTCTGCCATTATTTTTTTGCTTTGGTACTCCTGCAGGTTCAGCCATCGTCTAGGGGTTAATTGAACAGCCTAGAAAAACGAGAGGGGAAAATAACATAATGCTCATTAAGGACAGTTCATGAGACAGCCAACTGAGCTCTTCAGCCTTATGGTTATCTCAAACCAGCAGTTAAACAACACTGTTTCAGAGAAAAGGTACAATATGTATTGATTTACCTAACTGCCTTTTCTTAACATTTGTGCATCCAAAGTACTCTGAAAGCTACAGATATTTTTTAAAAGCTACACAAGGCTCACTGGGTGATCTTGGGTAGACAATTTAATATCAACGCAGATTGGCAGACTTGGCTTGAACTCTAAAGTCTATTTAAGTTTTGATGTTATCCTGTGCTATAAAAATATTAACAGACTGTAACCTTAAAACAAATTCATTTTTCATATTAAATATCCTTATATACACTAAATTTTATATACTTCTTCCTTATAAAATTATTCCTTCTGATTCTATGCATTTATTGCAGCATATCTGAGAAGAAAAACAACTGAAATGGAACTAGCACCATCTTGTAGGAAACTATATACTAATACGTGTATTTTCAGTGGTCTGTTATCTATGCTTAGTTGGTTGCACTTCTAAATCTATTTTGTTGAGGATGCTAGCACAATCACGTCAGCCATGCAAGGACAACAGCTGGAGAAGAATCTACCTTGCATTCTCAACATGCCAGTTTAGATGGTTGTGTCTGCATGTATTTATATATCATGGATACAAAGATATGACAACCTTACACACACACAGACATCACATTTGCTTGTCTCGGCAGCAAACATTGAGTAGAGATACTATAAAAGTCATAGGATCATTACTGAATGATTTTAAGAAAGGACACATTCTCCATGCAGGATAAATTGTTACAGACAAAGGCAATAATCACGGAGCTGTCACTGACTCCTGGCAATGGTATAATCCCATTTAGTGCCAGCAAAAGATGCTCTTCCCACACGGAGAGACGAACTGTTGTTCTACTGGCAGACAACCCACAATCAATTCTTGGTTTCTCCTGAAGTAAGGAGCACAGTATGCAAGCTACCACTATGTATTTAGATCTGTTAGACAAAGAGGATTATTTACTATACTAATACTTTGATCTCTAACAGCATGATAAAAAATATTATCCTAATGCAACTTTATACTGAAAACAAAAAACCTAGTCTTTCAATAATACATACCCTTTTCACAATACTAGAATTTTAAATGCTGTGTTGTATCAAAAGCAAACCTCCATCTGTTCCTACTTGCTTTGAAACATAGCACAAAAGATTGATGCATAAAGAAAATACAAAGCCCATCTATTACAGTATATAACCACATTTTCTGTAAAAGTGACTCTCACAGAACTTAAACAGTTTAAAATAGCTCAGAATGACACATTTTAAATTCTTTTAACCATAACCTGGTTAGAAGAATAAAACAACGTATTGTCAGTGTGCTTTACGGCTATCTCTAATTCTAGGCATCATACAGGCACCTCAATATATTTTATATTCCTCCATGTTATTCAGAGACAATATGTTATTACATTTATGCAATACCTTCAAATGTAGGGCCAAAATTTAAAGTCACTTTCATAATTGTTTACATTTAATTTGTTTTCCTATTATAAGATCTCTGTTAGGCTCTAATAGCTATTACTTCATGATCATTTCCACAAAGGGATTAACACTAAGAGCCAAGAGGGACCCTGAACGTCAATTCTACCCTTATATAAAAAAAGGCCAGAGAATTTCAACCAAAAGCTAATGCCACAAGCCCATAGTTTCTATCAAGCTACAGAAGAACTTTTAATGTGACTAGAGAAAATATCAGTTTTAACCCAGACAATCATTAACCTTCTCTTTTTCATTGTTTCTCTAAAGACTACCTCATAATAACAATATTATTATTATTATGAGGACTTCAGAATACATCATTATTGATACATGCATATAATCCATACATATACACACACACACACACACACACACTGAAGAGAAGCATCAGCTGAATCTGCACAGCCAGCCAGGAGTCTACTAACATGTTATTTGACCACTACCATAAGACTAAAATACATTTCCAAAGGCTCCCTCTTTCAGCTGTAAGCAGCAGCAAAAGAAAGAACATCCCAGCAGCGATCTGAAGACGACCGCATTTGCAGAGGTTGGGAGGGGAGGAAGGAGGAAAAACGAATACAAATCTCCATCCTACAATCGTCTTTCAGCCATTCTGCTCTAGTTAAAAGCTGTATGTGATGTGTGTGCTCCCTCCTCAACGCCTGGGGCTACAGCAGGAGAACATCTACAAAGACATTTCTCAATTCATTTCTCATGAGCAACAAGGAATTTACCAATCTGACTTCCAGGGTTCAGAAAAATAAGCTCGCACCTTTATTTAGAAGTGGATTGATTTATATCAAAATAAACAAAATCATAAATTCTAATTTAAATCTAAAAGGAAGAAACCTTGATTTAAACAATCAATTATACTCAAATTCTGTATCTGTACTTTCCAGAAGAAAGGTTTATTCTCCTTAGCTGGAAGCTGATTTGAAACAAAGGATAAGTCTATGCTAAGTCTGACAGCACTTTTTGCTCATCTGTTACATATTTATAAATCTTATAGATACAGTTCTTTATTTTTATGTTATGTAATCGTGTATTTACTAGGAGCCAAAAGATTTGAGACACATGTCAAGCTGATCTTGGATAGAATTAAATAAATACAGAAAAAATAATGTTAAAGTTGCTGTATTAAATAAAAAGCTGAGTTAAAAGTTTTACTAAGGATTTCTTGTATACATAAGTATGCTTACATACAATTTATTTTTCTCTTATGCTTGAGTGTTTATTTACAACTAACTGGTTTATATAAAGATTTCTACAGCTCAGTAATACAGCTGATAAAATTTTGGTCACTCGGTTTATAAATTAACAACAAGTCTTCAAAACAGTTTTTATTCATCATTTAGAACAATAAATCAGTTTCACATGTATGTGTTACTAAGCTGATCTAAATCAAATAAACAAAAAGGAAAATATTCAAACAATCTTATTTTGGGGCAGACTTTTGTTGCTGTTGCTTGACAAAAATCTCTTTCAGCACAACTTGTTTTCAAATTTTCTGTTTGGGTCGGAATTAAGTAGTTAAGGAATTTGCCATGCAGCACAGTGTGTCAACTGACATCTCCACTGTTAGTTCAAACCAGCAAGGTTTAAGCAATAAAATCTTTTAAGGACTCTCTTATATAAGATGGACTGCAAAGCGCCACCACCTAATAAAGGCCACCAGTGATAACTCACAACATGTGACAGATATGGAGCAGAGACAAGAGCAAGAAAAGCAGCCAAAGCTCTGTTTGTTTTATGAAGAAAGATCTTCTCCAGTGCCACCCATCTGGTGTGCCTCACTCCAGTGTTAACTCAGCTCCAGCCTAGATAATGAATAAAGCAAGCCTAACGGCTCCAATGGGAACCTGCAATAAGCTCTGTTTCCAACCACCCTCTTGGCATGTTACAAAAGCTTTTGGTAGGTATCAGTTTTACAACTTGAAAATACAACTCAAAATGTTCCACAGGAATACTCCAAATCATTGCTGAGATGTTAAAAATCGTATTACATATGCATACAGTGCATATATACATAAAAGAACAGACCTAGTCCATATGCTTATAAAAATTAAACAATTAATATTAAGAGATTATGAGAATATTTCCTTCATAAATTATGAACCAGACAGGTCTGAGGAACACAGATAGGAAATAAGAGAATAACTCATTTGAAAGAACTGTCAAAGCAGTCCTAAGGGTGACGCAACGAAGATCTGGCCAAGAACTGCTGGCACAAAAAAGCAAAGCCTACAAACTTAAGGTTAATAAGCACGTACACTTTTTTCCTCTCCTCTATTTTATGATCTAAGAGAGACCACCTTACTGAGTGCCAACTGAAGACTTTCAATCAAGACTTTCACAAAAGACAAACTCCTGGTTGTGAATGAACTACTCAATACAATGAATTAGTAGAGCCTACCATTGTATACAGGAGTACAACATATTTGAGAAACCAACTGTGACAAAGTCTGTATTAGAAGCTCTGAAGCGCAAGAAACATGAAAAATTTGCCTTAAAGAACTTGCGGTATACACACCGCATGTCTTGAGAAGAGCAGGCAAAATAAAGCAGTTACAAGAGATGAAATAAAGCAAAAGCTTTGAATCTGTGAAGACGACTACTCCTTCAAGACCATCTTGAAAAATCAAAACAGTTGCAAACGTGTTTTAGGCTTAAGGCACAAAAGAAAGTGACCATGAGATGTTAGAAAATGTGAGTAAACAGACGATTCCCTGAACTAATTCCCAACTCAAACATGTTTGGTTACAATAAATGTGTATCTGAACATTTAAAAGGGATAGCAATAAAAAGAACCAGTTAGTGCAAGAATCTTGAAAAATCCTTGCCAGATGAAGTTCTCAACCCTCCAAATACATTTATACCAAGAATTTGAGATAGGCTTCAAATAGTGTAAGTTTCTCGGGCATCATACATTTCCATGCATCCTAAAGATAAATATACACCTGAGACTGACCGTAACAGTGCTACTGCACAAAGGTACAGCCTTAAAACAGCCTAGACAAGAGCCTACAAAGTTTTGAAAGAAAGCTATTTCCCATACCTAGTCTTCTACAGGCAGCCATAATCCACCCCTTCCCCCTGAGACTTATTAGGAGGACACTTTAACACGGCACAAAATACAACTCCAGTGTCACACGCATTTGTATTATTTATTTTCCCATTCTGCAGCTCTACTCTTGTCAACAATTTAATTGCTCTCAGCAGCATTAAACAGCACTGCTAGATTCACAAATGCAGTCCTGTCTCTCATGGAAGACAGACTGAGGAATTAGGTTGTAAATTACTATCAGAAAAATAATTTCAATCTGACAGGGGGCAGGGGCAAAATAAGTAAAAGGGAAACTAAAGCACAGGAAAGCAGAGGCTACCTTTTAAGAATTTCTATTCATTATTGATTCTCACCA